CAACGAAAACCTCAAACCCTAAACCAACGCCAACGAGGGTCCTCCTCCGCTGGCTTTTTGGGGCCGATACGATGCAAATGCAACATCTCGAGCCCTTGGTGCCGGATCCGGGCCATCTTGGGCCTGTTTAGGGGTTTCGGGTTTAGGGTTTAGGGACGACGGTTTAGGGTTTAGGGTTTAGGGTTTAGGGTTTAGGGTTTCGGGTTTCGGGTTTAGGGTTTAGGGACGACAATTTCGGCTTCTTGTCTAGGCCTAGGCCTTCGTAGCAGGATCCGCAAACCCCTTGAGAGGGGAAGCTTACCTCCGATGGAGTTTCCGGGCCTCGTTTAGGGGCCCGAAGAGTTGCCTATACTATTTTTGGGGGGCCCTTATTATAAAGCTATCTACCCAAAGCCCTAGTCTAATTATTAAGGGCCCTGCATGAGACTAGCACAGGGTACCATTGGAAGACTTGACGTTTCTGCTTGGAGGGTTCAGGGGTTGCCTGCTCAACGTCCCAGTTTTCCGGTTTCTAGGACTCGAGGACGTGGGGTTTCAAGCCATACACCTCAAAGCCACATAAACAACCCCAAACCCAAGACCATTATTCGTGGTTTTTTCGTTCGGAGTTCAGGGTTATAGGGTTTAATCTTAGGGGGTAATTAGGGCAAGTCTAGGGCTCTTTCGAAGCAATCCCTGCAAGTAATCCGGTTTTCAGAAGTTAAGGGTTCAGGGTCTAGGGTTTAGTTGTTTAGGACTTCTCAGAACCCTGCGCAACGGCCGGATCCTCTGTGTTCGTAACACCATCGTGCGGCAAAGCCGGCGTTTCTGACGAGGCTTGTGTTATCCCTTTGCTACCTCGTATCTGCAGCCTAAGAGCAGGAAAGAGGACCCTAGCCCCCCGGTTTAGGGTTTAGGGTTTAGGGTTTAGGTTCTAGCCTCGGCACTTTCCCGAAAGCATGTGCAGTTACCTTCCTCTCCGACTCAAACCCAGCAGAAGTATGTCTCACATCCTGAGGCAACTTCGCCAGCAGCAGACCTCAAACCTAAAGTCCTAAATTGCAAATCCATCGAAATCCCAAAAGAGAACTTTCGGCAGACAACGAGCTGGGAAACAGGGCCTTGATGGTGTCCTTATTACCTGTGCAGCTGTGCCTTCCCGCCAGAATGCCGGGACTGGCATATCCTGCCGCATTTGAAAATCAAGCGCGTCGGAGTGAACTAAACGGACCGCGCTGGGCAGCCATGCTACTTCCTGTAACACCAAAGCTCCACATCCTGTTCTAATTGATGTCGGAGTAGGAGTGGGAGTAGGAGTAGAAGCCCCTAAGCCCTAAACCCTAAACCCTAAACCAGTAGCAGCATGATGGTGATGATGCTAATAATGACAATCATCACGATGATGACACCGAAGCGAGCATCCAAACTGCCTGTGCGTAGGGGGCTGGATCTGGCCGGATCTGGCGGCCTTCAAGCATGCAGCTGCATTGTTTTAGGTGAAGTGTTAGGCTTTAGGGTTGTTTAGCCCAGGTTTAGGGTACAGGTTGATGTAGGGTTTAGGCTATGTGTTCTTGTGGGCCAAAAGGACCGGTATCCCGCCTATGCTTGAGCACTATTCGCGTCGCGAAGCCACAAGGCAACTCTGTTCTGGGGCTCGGTAGTCCTCGCAAGACTAACATAGAAGCCTACATAAGTATTTACCCATATTGTTGCTATCGCTGCACCCCCAACCCTAACCTTAATTGCAGTCTTGGGGCTCGAGCAGTTTTGACGGGAGTTGCTGCTTTCTTCGGCCGGCAAAGAGCCTTGCCTGATCTGGGGCTAAAAGGGCTGACAGAGTATTTTCTGGGCGTTTCGCCATATGGTCTTGCAGGGTCTCTTGTCAAAGTGTTTGTATGGGGTTACTAAGGGTTTACAGGGTATCATTTGGCTTTTCCGTGAAAACTACACTTGTGTTTGTATAGTCAAGCATGATTATGTAATGGCTTTACAAGTACAGCTCCGCCAGTTTTCAACCTCTTCGGTAGAGATGTGAAGAGGTTTTCACTCCTCAAAGGCTTTATACAAGGTTTCAGCAAGTGGAATGATCCAGAAGGTTTAGTGCAGGGTGTCAGGGTTTTGCGGTTATAAGTTTCCAGGAGAGGCTTCGTTGCGTAAGCAGGATTTAAGGATTTCGGGGCCCGGGGTTCTGGGTGTGAGGTTTGTGCCTTACGGCTGGGGGCTACAGTATTTAGGGATTAGGGCTTTGGGTTCAGTCCCAAGTATATGTGAAGCAAGAAACCTTCCACAAAATTCGAGGCCGACTCCCCCAAGCGTTAAACCTTAAACCGTTCGTGCCGATAGCACGCAGAGGTCGGATCGGATCTGGTTGGGGCTGGAAAAATCTCGGAATCTTAAACGACCCTAAACCCTAAGCCAGAGCCTACCTTAAAATACCATACCCTACCTTTCTTGTAGGTTCTCAATTAATATAAGTCCTAATGTAGAGTTTATGACGACGCTACTCCAGTTTAAGGCCTAGAGTGTATGGGCTTCAGTGAAGTCATGGAGATTATGTTTAGCCATCTCAATAGCAGACATCTGACTGTGCAAAGCATGAGGAAAGAGGGTGGTCCAGCAGACGTGGACGTTGGAGCATTGAAGGGGAAGAAAGAAAGGAGGCAGTGACAGGTGATGGTAACCAGCAGGAGATTCAGAAAGGAGAGTGGAAGAACAGGAATGGTACGACGATTGGTTTTGGAGGTAATCGTGATTGGAGTCATGAGCAGATAGGTTCGCTTGATGGTGGGTCCGGTGACTGGTCTTGGTTCGTGGAACGCAGAGCAGCTGAACTCCAATATGGCGTGTAGCTGCTCTCAAGCGAATGCGTTGCAGGAAGCCACGAAGAGTGAACCGTCGCAGAATGCGGCAGTTGTGCCTGTAGATGCGCAGGATCAGAATGCATCCCGGTCGAGCGTCCGAGGTGGGATAATGCCGAATCTGTTCCCTGGAACATGGTTGTTGATCGAGTCTAATATTGTTCTATATGCTGTCAACATTTGTATTCTACATGTTCTGGAACTCCCATCCGTCTACGGTTGGGGTTGTAGTGCTTGTCAGCTTGGATGCAGAGAGGAACCATTTTCCTTTCCCGCGCCCGTAAAGCTACTTGCCTGCAGGCTTGCTATTAACGACACGGGTTGACCCATGCCACAATGCCGCTTGAAGAACCCAACAAACCACCCCTTCGCAGCACCTGTTGCACGCCACGATGGGTTCACTGTTTGCGGCCACCCTTGACCTAAACCCCAGAACTTTCGACCCTGAACACTAAGCGTGAAACACTATAAACTCTAAGCCTGACGGTGTTTTTAAAGGCAAGTCCAGCCCACTGCCGCAAAAAGAAAACGATGCGTCGTGCACCCTAAACCCTAAACCTTAAACCCCAAGAAGGAAACGATGCGCCGCACAGCACTTTGTTTGGGATCGGTGGCTTTGGCCAGCGGTAAGGCGCGGGCTGGACAATCTGTGGGTGCCTTTATATATAGGGTTAAGGGTTTAGGGGTACTTGATTTTGCTTGCCTTTCTTGCGTTAGGTTTCTGTAGGGTTCTTACAGGGTTCATAAGGGTGTGGCAAGGATCGCATAAGCGGCTTCCTGTAATTTTGGCATATCATGCAGGGTCCTTAGAATTATGGATTCCATCATTCCGGGTTCTACGTTGTCTGAAGCTCCCATCTTGTCCGTTTAGAGTTTAGGGTTGTAGTCTTCCCAGTCATCGCGCCTTCATGTCAGGGCTTCGTTTGGGGTCTTAGGAGTGCTTGAGTACTATAGGGGCCTTAATTAGAGTAGGGTTATGGGGATATCATACAATAATAATAATAATAATACTAATAATAAGGAACCCTCAAACCCTATTCTAATTATTAAGGCCCCTACATTATTCACGGCTGAACCTGACGCTGTTGCCTTGCTTGAATTCAGCGGCATGGTCAGTGGCGGGCTTTAGGAAAACACGAAGCGTAACATGCGCTTCTTGGCCAGGTGTACTTCTCCGAAACCTTCGGTGATGGCTGGGAGCATCTTAGCTTCTCATTAACATGGGCTGACACCCCAGACACCAAAAGTTCAACCTTCTCCGCTGTTTCCTTCAAGCACTAAGACTTAGCCATAAGCACTAACGCATTAAAAGCCCACAAGATGCCTGAGGAGCCGATGGACCCCCAGTGAGTGGAAGAAGAGCGATGGCACTCAAGGCACCTGGCAGTTGTCAGCGGGCAAGTGGCGCCCTGGATCTACCAAACAAGGTTGAGGTTCTAAGGTTCAAAGTTGAGTTAGGGTCTAGGGTTTAGGGTCTATAGGGTTTAGGGTCGGCTTGACATTGAGGGTTGGGTCTAGGGCCTAGGGTCCTAGGATCGAAGGTCTACCGTCTCGGGTTGCGGGTTTGGGGGGGTTTGGGATTCAGGGTGGGTTTAGAGTTTGTGGTTTCGGGTTTAGGGGTTTTAGGGTTTGGCAGGGAGGGCCAGGTTCCAGGAAGGTTGGAGTTTGTCAGGGTTTGGAGGGGGTTTAGGGGTTCGAGTCAAGAAGTTGAGGGGTTTGCACGGTTTCAGTGGAACTCCACCCTAAACCCTAAACCCTAAACCCCAAACCCTAAACCCTAAACCCTAAACCCTCAACTGGACGTTTAAAACCTCTGAAGGCTTCAGCTTTCCAATCTTGGGGTTTACAGCTCAGGGCTTTTTGGAAGTGGTTTGGTGCTTGGGTTCCTGCTAAACCCGAAGCCCTAAGCCCTACGTGGAAAGAGCCATGGGGACTCTTGCGGGTTCAACTCGGACTTAAACCTGCTGAGGCAGGATTCTCCAAGAGCTGTCCTGGAAGCTCAACTCTCATAAGGGTTTAGGCTTTAGGGTTTA